ACTAAATTTTGATCCCTGAAATTCTTGGTAATACCAATGTTCACTTTGTCTGGTTTTGTTGCAGTATGCCCCAAATAATCATAGTGGACAAATTCCTCGCGAGCATAGTAAAGTACATGTTTTAAAAAAGAAAAGAACTCTACAACAAATAATTTTTTTGAGAAAATCTCTCTATTACATTAAAACTAAAGTCATATTATATCAATTAATAGAGCTATTTTTTAAAAAAATAAGACAGAAAGTGACTTCTATACTTTTAAAATTTTAGGAGGTCTCTAGACTGAGCTCTCGGAAAATATCCCAAATATCGGAGATATAAATATTCCAACATTCTAAAGTGTAACAGATTACCAAATCTCAGAATAATATTTAAATGAAAGAATTTTACATGACTCGCATTGACTAGAAATTACTTGAAAATAATTCTACATGGAAGATTTAAAGAATGTTTAAGGAAAATATTAATTAGTATAATTTAGGATTTCAAAGAAATCAGAGAACTAGATGATAGAACCTTTAACATGTATAAATATGTTGTAATTTCTCTTTCATGTAATCTTAAGTTAGTTTTAACTTATACTTTATCTTGTAATAACAATAATATCTTAATAATAAATACAGACATAAATATCTGTTAATTAAAACTCTTGCCAGTGGAATAATTCACCTACTTCCAAAACCAAATAAACCTTTCGCTCTAAGACTTACCTAACTGATTAACTAAATACTATCTTACCAGGAGGACGCCTTTGATAAGTATAGTTGTGTGTATATTTTTTATTATTTTCTTTATTTGATTTAGATTAGGCCAATGCCTAAGAAGTGGAAACCCTAGATAGGTGTGGCCAGTTAAGAAACTGAGCCATAAATATAATTGATAAGCATAGAAAGTATCTAGGTGGATACTTAGGATATTATAAATAATAATTGAGATGTGCCAGCTCAGGCAGATAACAAATGACTCTAGAGAAAACATTACCGGATGGGAAGTAACAAAACTTGCTCCACAATGGATTAATAGCTTAAGTGCTATTGCTGCCATAAAATAAAGAGAGTGTAATTAAGAATTAAATAATTGGATACTGCCATAAATACTATTCTAACCAAATCAAGAGATTTGTGTGAGACCTAAAATTTGGAAAATTTGGAAACAACAAAGTCATGCTAAATGTAAATATTGCAATCATGAATTAGATCAAAACTAGTCCAATTATTGAAGAAATGTAAAGCCCATCTTGTTTTCAGTCATTTAATCTATATTATTTTTTTCATTAATTTTATATACACAGAATATTGATGATCTTTGAAAATCAAAATAGGGAATGAAAAAAATAAAGCTTAAAGCCCAAGCTGCATTTTTAACAGTTTATAAAATTTTATCAAATTATTGAGGATACTTTTATATATGTAATATATAGGCATACTGAACATTTGCATTACCAAGAATTCAGGGCTCAAAATTTAGTAGTTTTTGTTCTCATCAACAATCAAAGCTCATATGGTAACAGACAAACCTGGTTTGAGGAGAAGATATGGAAAGTTTTTTGCCCACCTTGAAAAAGTCTTCCAATATGTTAGGACTGTTTCATTTGTGGAAAAGAAAATTTCCACATTGCTAAATTGTGCTTAATTGCACAGTCCTACATGTTTGTGATAGGAAAATTTTTATTAAATCTGGCACCTGTAGTCAATATCAGATTTATTAATTATAATACATTCATTTATTTATTGTGAATCCTAGAGATCTGGGTAGACATGCATTTATTGTTTAGACTTAAAAAATTTCATTCCTGCATGGGTGATGCAATTGTTTGTATAATCATTGTGATGAATGTGAGAAGAAAGGAATTCACACATGAGGAAAGTATTAAATTAGCAATATCATGTCTTTTATTTTATTTTTATTTGTTTAACCAAGATATATAATAAATTGTATCAAAAAAAATAAAAAAATTGCCAGTGATTGCATGGAACCAAAAGCTTGTCCAATCACACCATTACATGTTCCAAGATCAATCTGAAAGTTATCCCGATCTTTTGTGTTGTTTGAGGTATAATCAATGATAGAAATAATGGAAAAATAATATTTGAAAAAAGGTCGGAGGTTTTGGTCAGGATATTAATGTTTATTTATTGTTCTAATTATGATCCCAAAGAATGATCCCGAACTTTTGCTAGGTTGAATGAAACTTTTGCATTTTTATAGATGATTTTGATGCTTATTTTAAATTTCAAAGAATTTAAAATAAAAGGTAAGATTAAGATTCCTGTTCTAACTTAAAGAGTGGTTACCAATAACATTCATTGTTGAAGTTAATGAATAATAGAGATAAGGTATATATGGCAATTTGAATTTGTTTTTGCCACTTCCTGTAGTTATCTTATTTACTGCATTCCATTAGGATAATATCAGTAAACAAAAGACTAATTAATGATTGATAAGGGTATAGAATAATAATAAGAATAATATTTGATGATATTTTGTATTGAATAAGTTATTAAAATAATGATATGGTGTTAATAATAGATAGACAATTGTGTCTTGTTATATTTGTAAGGATATTATGAATAAACAAACAATAATGGATCAATAATTTTAAGTATCATGATCTATTTTAATTTTTATTGTACCATAGTTGTATTTATTTCTTACTGACACTTCATGTGTTAATATTAAAGAAAATAAAATATTGCAAATATTTATTAATTTTTTTGTCTTTTAAATATTTTTGTTCTTTGGTTGATCTCTCTTTTCTCATCTCAAATTTAAAAAACCTACAATGTAAACATAAAAAAAATATATATAGGGTTATAGGTATATGGAAAGAAGTAATCACAATGGTTCTAATGAATATCAAAAAGCAATTGATTTTTTTAAAAAGAGGTTGTAAATGGTAGTTGCTCTTCAAGAATTCCCAAGGAGGAATTTGCAGAATTAAGAGAAACTTTTCAAGCTCTTTCTAAAATAGAACAAGACATATTCTTAATGATCAGCAATGAATGGTGGATCAACAAGCACTAGTAGATGCCTTAAGAAGAAAACCAGATCTAATAAAAGAACTTTCTATTACTGGGTCACAATACACCTCTTTGTCAAGAAACTTATCTCAATATGTTAGGAATTGGCAGGACTTATTTTTAAAATATCAGAAATCATCTAATAAACAATCATCTTTTACCAAGAATTCATGGTAACATCAAAAGGATGCCTCAATGGAAAACTAAAATGGTGATTGATAAAAATGTTGTTAAAATAATAAAAAATTTTCTAGAAAATTATGCTAAGTCCATGGATTACCAAGCCCAGGAAGAAGTAACAATAGAATAACCAAACCAATTGTATTCTTACCAGCTGAAATAAGTTATAAAACTGTGCACAGGGATTTTCTATTTGGTCTAGAAGAAGATAGCAAATTGAAATCCTTGAAATATGATGCATTTAGAAAATTATGACATCAATTGACACCAAAGATTCAAATTATGAGTCCCAAGACTGACTTATGTGATTCTTGCCAACATTTTAAAAATGGTTTGCATTATAATGCTCGCCAAGAGGAAGAAGCTAAAGAATCACTCAAGAGATTTAAAGAACATCTGTCCAAGACAAGATTAGAAAAAAGTTGTTATAATAAAAATACTAAATTAGTTAACCAAAATTATCCCTAAGGTTGGAACACAATATTGCAGTGTTGATGCTACTGCTCATTATAGTTATGATTGAGCCCAAAATGTTCATGTATCACATTCAGATCAAACATAGCCTTTAGAGAAATTGTCAAATTTTATCTTCAAAAATTTTTTCCAAAAATGATGTTTCTTTTATTTTTAATTGCTTAAGTTCCAGGGAATTGAGTAACACAAGATTTTTAAATACATACTCTTCAGAACCTAAACTATAAACCGATATAAATTTTTTAATATACTTATTATGTATGTTTTCATGTATTTAATACATTTAGGGTGTCTGACTCTTCTATCCAGACATTGTATTTAAAATTTTCCAAGTTTCTGTTATAGAGCTTCTGAACTGTAGTAATAAAATTCACGGCTACCTTTACAACTTTAAGGTCTTGTGTTGGATTTATTTACAGCTTATTATTATTATTATACTGTAATAGTAATAATATGAATTGCTGGCAAGCATTTAATACGAATAATTAAATGGGCATCCTTGCACTATGTACAAAATTTTAGCCCAATGAATAATTATTATTTAAAATATTCTAAATTAACCAAATTTAGTTAGGTTTGGAATAGGGAATAGTGTTAAAAAAAATACAAATTGATATAAAGTGGTGGGATGATTTTTTTTATGTTAATTCCCTTTCAACAAAATGAAGCATATAATTGTCTATATGATCAGGATTATCATCATTGGTTCCATCAATTTTAATTGGTGAAGATAATTCTGTTGCTACATAATCTTCTGAAAAATCTGGAATATCAATTTCAAATTCATTTCTTGAAATTTTTGCAGCATCAACATCAGTATCATCTTCCACCTTATCCAAATAATGTTCTAATTCAACCCCATCCTTCGGCTCATCTTTTATTTCATTACTACAATTTGGTGCTATATCACTCACAAGTGCACGCCAATCTACTCTTTGGAAGAAATCAGTTGTAAATTCACCATCCATAATCACCAATTTATCTAACATACGTTTTTGATTTGCTTTTAATAATATATTTTCTTCAATTGTATGTTCACTCACAAAACGATATATGTTTACTTCACGTGTTTGACCAATCCGATGACACCTACATGATAAAGTTTTTTTTCCAATTAATAATTGAAATTGACATAATAAATTTTTTCTGATCTAAATGACTCCACATATTTTTTTTACCTGTCTTGACATTGTCTGTCAGCACAAGGGTTCCAATCACTATCATAGAAAATCACAGTGTCAGCACCAGTTAAATTAATACCCAAACCACCAGATCTTGATGATAATATAAATACAAAGATTTTAGGATTATGATTAAACTTTTCAGTTAATATTTGTCTATCTTCAATTTTTGTTGAACCATCAAGTCGAAGATATGTATGCCCATGAATATTTAAGAATATCTCTAATATATCAAGGACTCGTGTCATTTGTGTAAAAATTAGTGCACGATGACCTTTTTCTTTCAGTCTACGAAGAAGAATATCTAATTCTTGCAATTTTCCACAATCATACTGAAGAAGTCTTTTATCAGGGAATGCTATTTGTAACTTGACACGTATTGGATGGTATATATCTTTAAATTGAGTTTTAATAATTGCTTTCAAATTTTCTGAAACTTCTCCTAGTGAAAAGGAAACAATATCTTTTGCAACAACAGCTGGAGTTACAAATGCAAATTTATCTATTTTTTCTTCCATTATTTGATATCTTCTCTCATAAGACGTGATCATATCATACAAGGCATCTGTGAAATTCCAAAATTCTCTAGGATTTTTGGCATGAGTCAATACTCTGTTACACACAGTTGTACCTAACTTTCTACATATATCAATTAAACCAGTCCCATATATAGGTTGACGTCTAATACGTAGAGAATTGACATAACGCATATAATTCCATCTATTCCTAGTTGCAATTTTTTTACGATGATGCATTATATTACTAAATTCTACAATGCTATAATGGTTGACTGTTTGATTTGGATCAAAATTTTTTTTTATAACACTGTAAAAATCAATTTTCTCCCAGAATTTATTTTCTGTATTTGATGCATCCCATTCACTTGATATCAGTTGATTTAATCTGAGCTCAAATTTAGTTGGTACAAGATTCAAGAAATATAGATCAACATTTGAAATTGAATCAATTTCTTGCAATAACCTTTTACGAACCAATAATTCCTTAATTTCATAATCAGATATAGCTGATTTTGTCATAGCAAATGATGTTCGTATAGGTCGTACCTCAAATAAGTCTGGGTGATTGCAAACCTTTCGTAGTTGCATCAGACAATTAATTATGCTTAAGAAATTTCCTGATTGCAAAATTTCTTTTGTCTTGGCACGTGACATAAAATCATCATACAAAAAACGTTGCCGCTTTGATAATCTACATTTAATTATATGATGATGCTTTGCTGGAAGTTGCCTTTCAACATCAATTTTCATACGTCGTAACATATGTGGACGCAATAAAGTGTGCAATTTTCTAACCAACTCTATTGTTTCCTCATCTGCTTGTACATTGTCCTCAATTGATTTGTTAATTTGAGAAAACATATTTATGAATTCCTTTTGATTAGCAAATCCTAAAGAACTATCTCCAATAGTAACCCCATCAGGCATCAAAAAGCGCATCAAAGACCATAATTCTGTAAGGTTATTCTGTAATGGAGTGCCAGTAAGCAATAGTCTTCGTTCAGCACGAAAGGTTACCAATGTGTTCCAACGCTTAGATTCAAAATTTTTAATATTATGAGCTTCATCAAGTATTAAATAATGCCAGCCCATTTTTTTAAATTTAGCTTGATCCAATAATGCAATATGATATGATGTTATGCAGACATGAAATGCATTATCTTTTGTCCACCCTATTGTTTTAATTTTGCGTTGTATTGGTGAACCATAATATGATATGATTTTAAAACCTGGACACCATTTAAAAAATTCCCTTTCCCAATTTATTAGTACACTTGTAGGTACAATAATCAAATGAGGTCCCCAATCTCCTTTTTCAACTGCTAAATAGGCTAATAGGGCAATTGTTTGAATGGTTTTTCCAAGACCCATTTCATCAGCAAGAATACCATTCAATTTGTTATTGTATAAGCTTACAAGCCAATCAAGACCATGACGTTGGTAATCACGAAGTTCTCCTCTAAGAAGGCTTGGTATTGGAGTAATGAAATTCACTGTGCTTGAAGTAGTTGCAGTAGGTGATTCATTTAAATCATCTGATTCATGATCATGACTTTCTATGCAGTGATTTGATTCTATTTTTTCTATTTCCATATAATGGTCATTTTCTAATAATGGATCTTGATGCTCAAGATTGTCATTATCAATGGTATCCTTTAAAATGTGTATTTCAGGTTTAACAGTTTCTCCTAACAATTCTTTTTGTTGTGCTTCAAGTATTTGAGCTGAATGTTCAATCAATCGATTAAGACGATGCCTACTTTCACGATCTTGTTTTTCTTGTAGTAATTCTTCTTGTTTTTTTTTAACAACCTAATTGAAAAATTTAATTATTTAAAAAATATTTAAACCTAAAAGTTTTTTTTTTTATAGAGAAAAACAGTTTAAATACCTTTTCACATTGCATCCACTTTTTCTTAACCATATTAGCTACAGTTTTAGCAAGTTTCTTTAATCTTTTTTCCTCTTTCAAATTTTCTTTTAAATCTTTATTGGCCAAATAATTAAAATAATCAATAATTGCTTTACTAATTGTTCTTGTAATACGATTCCTTTCATTAGAATATTTCTTTATCATTTTTGATCGTTTTTCAATACTATTTAAAATCATGTCCCAATTTGATGTTACATGTGGAATTTCTGGATGAGGTGGGGGAATTTTTAGTGATCTTCCCTCTCTCTCTAATTGAAATATAAGCCACAAAGTGTCAGCATCTTTTTGGGCTCTTGAATCAGCCTCTGCTATGGTCACATCTTTATCATCATCTAAGGTGACAAAAGAATTCAAAAATTCATCAAAATGAGGAAATTGAGGAATTCGAGTAACTTGGAAATTATTACGACGAAGAGAATAAGATGATAAATTTGATGATGATGGTGGTGGTGAGTAAAGAGCAGAATTTGAATCATAATTTCTGCTAGAACTAGACCTGGATACTCTATGATTATGGTTGGATGATAATGTTGCATTACGTTTTGAGCTATTAGATTTATGTGAAATACTTTGATGATGAGAATGATGCTGAGAAAATTTTTTTTCAGTAGACAATTCAGGAAAATTTTCATGAATAATGTCGGAGATTAAATCATTTGCATTAATCCATAGTTCAGGATCTGTTATGTACTTTTGTAGTAGTTTTGGTCAATATTGATTTTTGTAATTGATAACATAACTTTTTTTAAAATGATAAAATTTAAAATGCATTGATTGTTTAATTAAATCAGTGCAATTATATATAAAAATTTTAGCACACACCTTTTCTATGGGTATACTATTATCATGTTTAACTTTTTCAGGATCAAAATCTTCAAGTGGTTTATTTGTTTCATGAAAATATAATTCTCTGAGTAGAAGATCATGTTTGTCAACTAATTTTGAAAGTTCATCAACTCTTTCATAAATAAGTTTTCTACGAAATTCTTCTAAAGGTTCATTTGTTTTATCATTTTTAAAAGATATTCTTAATCTTTTGCGTGGTTGTGAAGAATCTTCGATATTAATAGATTTTGATGATGGAGGTGGTTGAGAAATCTTTCGAGGTCTTCCAGGACCTTTTCTAGGTGGTTGAGAATCGTTATCATAAATTGACATTTTCAAAGGTGATTTATTTGTGGTGAAATTTGTTTATTTAATATTAAGGGTAAAGTATAGTCATGTGATTTTAATAATGATCGGCAAAGGATAAATTCTCGATCATATTGGGCATACTGCAACAAAACTAGACAAAGTGAACATTGGTATTACCAAGGATTTCAGGGATCAAAATTTAGTTATTTGTAATGTGATTATAATTAACAGTTTTATAATATCCCATTTGTTATCTTAAGTGATATATAGAACTATCCCCATACAAAAATAATAACATGAAACTCATTTACATCAGATCTACTATATATGGAATCCAAGAATTATAGCACCATTAGAAGCATTTTGAAGAATGAACAAGGTGAGAAAATCGTTCCTTATATTTTCAAAATAAATGATACTCAGGCACCTGAAGCTTATCTAAGAAAAGAAAGGATAGCCTATGAAATTTACCAAGAAGAAAGAAAAATCATAAATGTTAGAAAAAGAAAGCAGAGTGGAAGTGCATTGTTACCTAACAAAAAGCAGAAATCCTTAGAAGGAAAATTACAATATTGATTTATTTTTTTTACAGACTTATTACCTAGGGACAACTCAATGTTGCACATATAGATATTTGCCGATCTTCCAATTCCTTCATAGTAAAAAGAGAACTTTACATAGAAAACTTTACACACAAGAGTTTTTGAACAGCCAATGCCAAAAAATCAAGTTATTATTGTTGAAAGCTTTACACTTCTCAAATTTTCTCTTGATCAGGCTCGTAATGACATTTTAATTATTAATTACCAAGAAAGCATACAAAATTATATATAATGACAATTATATTCATTTTACAAGTAATATATAAAAGATTGTATATATATAAAAATAATGGGTATATTCATGTACATATGGGTCATGAGGTAAAATTAAATTTACATATAAGATGGATATATTATTATGTATTTTAAATACAACTTTATAACAAAAAATCTTCTGATACCATTCAAAATGATGTGAAATTTGGGTATGATAATTTGTGTAAAGGAATGTTATTGAAAAAACATATGCGTAGCATTTATTTTTGAAGTGCATTCTGCTTCATATTGATCGATTATTAATTACCACCCAATGCAAAGACAAAGGAAGCTGTTTATTATGACTTTGTGTATACATACATACATTTTATAAAGGATTCATATCCAACTATGTTGGATGTTTGACCATCCTAAACCAATGTTGCAATTTAAAAATAATCATTTTCTTATTAATTCTACCGTATACCTTCTTATTTATTTATTTACTTATTTTGTAATATTAAAAATAATCTTAATGCAATAATTTAATATACGATGTATAGATAGATAGACACTATAATTACAATATACTACTATTTAAATTTATTCTTCGTCATCTACTAAATCTACCAAGTAATTAACTTTTTTTACAATTCTTAAGTTTCTTTTTTAGTCATAATTTCTGTTTCATGTGGCTCAATATAATCGTCATCATCGTCATCCACCATTTCGATTATTTTTCTTTTATGCTCGTGATTGTTATATGATTCAATTTAAATTCATCGTCTTCAACTTTCAACTTGGGTCTTCCTTTATTTGCTTTTTTTAGTTGTAGTTTTTGTTTCATGTAGTTCAATGTAATCGGTATCATCATCATCAACAGTTTCAATCACCTTACTTTTGCTGCTCGTGGCCGTTGTATGATTCAATTTAAATTCATCATCTTTAGCTTTCAATTTGTATTTTCCTTTGTTTGCCTTTTTAATTGTGGTCTTTTGTTCAGTGTAATCATTGTCGCTGCTATCAACATCATCCATAATATTCTCGATTTTTTCCTCAGTGTAATTATTGTCATGGTCATCAATGTCAATACTATTCAATTTATTACTATTGTAAAAAATCTATCAACCTTAGCTTGTTTTGACTTGGATTTTCCGTTATTAGCCAGATTTTTTGCGGTTTTGGTGGTCTTGGCAATCTTGGTGGTATTAGTAGAAGTTGATATATTTTCTTGATTAGCATTCACGAACTCATCCCATGCCGCTTCGAGTTCATCGAGATCCTTGAGCCATAAATCTTGAGTGCTCATTTCTGAAATTATTTTCAATTCAGAATATAGAGACTTCTCTTTATTTTCATATTTGTCCACTTCTTCTCTACTAAAGCCAAACATGTAAGCTTCATAAGGTATTCATACCCTTTGGTGTTTCTGTTGGTATCGGTACCCTCAGACGAATTTTCTTCAGACTGCGCATCATATATTTTCTCAAATTTATGGGATTCAAGAAGTTTTACGATTTCCGCCTTCTTTAATCCTTCAAACTTTAACATTGGGTCAAGCTTCATATAAATAAACTCTCCATTATACTGATTTGTTTCTGCAAATCTTTAATCAAGTGATTCTATAATATATACACAATAGATTAAAATATTGTTAAAAAATCAAATAAAATTATATTAATAATAAACATACTTTTCTTTTGACATAAAGCTTCAATCGTTCACGGTAAAACTCTTTTATGATGTCTTCTGGAGAGTCATACTTTGCAAGTTTATTGTTTGGGTCGAAACACATCATATTGGAGGTTGCCAGAACAGTTGTTAATTGGAATGTCTTTAAGTCCCTCTTTCTCTGCCTTTTCCATTTGCTCAACAGTTAATTCAATTTCAAGATCCACCAGTTCATTAGTGCAATTGTTTCTAGAAATGTTCTTGATTGTGTTATTTTCTCTGAAATCATTTAGAGTTTTAGATTTGTAATCCTCGGTCTACTTGTGAATTGGTAGTTCTGATATTACAACATGCATATCATTTTTTTTGGAAATTATTCCATATGATGTGTATTTATTGTGCTCGGTTTGTTTGATCTTTCCATAAAATCTGTGATACCAAGGATGCATCGAGATCATCTCTTCGCCTTTGATCTTTCTTTTCAAATTGTGAATAATGTCCTTGGGATTGAAATTAGGAATACTGGTGCTCCAACCTGTTCCTATACCATTGGAATGATAGGAACATACCATTTTGGTTCAATTTTCATACCACCTTCACTCAAATATTTAACAAAACATCATCATCTGGGTGATAAATCAGCCTAGCAAAGTTTGAAAGTTTTGTTTTGAAGTAACGAGCAGCTGCTGCTGCTTTTTTACCACCATCATTTCTATTTCCGAACATTCCTATTGGTTCTAGCAAATTGATATTATTGGATCCTACAGAATCTTGTGTAGAGGTTGGCACCACGCAAAAATTCTTTAACTGGCTAATTTAGTCACGTGGAATTTTTTAACTGGTAAATTCGATCGTTCATTACTTACAAAATAATCACGCGCCTGTTGAATTTTATTATTATACACTTAA